CATTACATACAACAAAACAATGCAAATCAAATAAAATTAAAGGCAGCAGAATAATAAGAAAAATTTTATATCTGCTCCTATTTACAACAAAAAAAATATATATTAATTTCAAACAATAAACCAAATAAAACAAAAATAAAAATTCAACTCCTCAGTCAGTAACTCATGCAAATTCACACAATGTAATCATTAAGTGTGCAGGTTTTGACCACATCTGTAATGAATCTGGAAAAAAAAATCTGTACGAGTACCTTTATAAAATGAATTCAGAAACTTATTTTTATGCAACTTTAGTTGCTGATGCTCTGACTGTTTCTCATTAATTTACTCAGTACCCCACACTGACAGTGAAAACAGTGTTTTATACAGGTTTTATTAAAAAAAAAAACACCAACTACTAAAGTATTCAGAGCTTAACTTTTCACTTTTTGTGATTGCTACTGAGATGTTTCCATAGTCACTCAAATTATTTGGGCAGGATTTTATAAAATTCTGATTCGTTTGGGCCTGGGTTCAATCCCCGGTTCGGACCTGGGGTCTTTCTGTGTGGAGTTTGCATGTTCTCCTCGTGCTTGCGTGGGTTTTCTCCAGGTACTCCAGTTTCCCCCACCCCCCAAAACATGTACAATAGGTTGCCKTCAGGCCCAGGCCTCCCTTGAAAAAGAGATCTGAGATCTCAATGGGACTTACCTGGTAAAATAATGGTAAAAAAAATGGTTTCAGTTGTAAACACTGTCTGGAGGACAGCAGGCACACCTGCTCACCACAGTGGTGGCAGCAGCAGGCTGTGGGGCTGTTTTCAGCGGCAGGGATGGAAACACTGGTCAAACTTACTGATGTTGAACTAAAGTTTTAAACTCCACTGGGAGAGATAATGTAGTTGATTTGTTGTTTGCTTTGACTAGAGATCAAAGTCTAATTAAAGCAGTGGCATAAACCATTTAATTAAATGTATTAGCATGAGTGTGACAGGTGTGACAGAACCAGCTCTGTAAAACTATGAGATTATCAGGCTTCTTTTAACGTCCACACATTCAAGGTGACTCGTCCACGTCTGACGTTCAACACCTGCTGTGATCAGAGCTGAGATCAAATGACACGAAGCTGCTGACAGAACAGGTCCTGGATCAGAGCTGAGGAGTCTCATACAGACAGAGTACATTTACAATCCAACAGTAGTAATGTGATCACTCAGAAAAACTACATGAAGTACTACTGGTAATAAAAGTAAATATATATTTGTCTAATTGTCAGGAACAAAATAACATAGCAGACACCAGTAATCTGTTTTTATCAGTTTTATTTAAGGTTTTGGTCGATTCTTTAAAGGGATTATATGTACACAAATTAGCTCATAAAGAGATATAAAAAAAATCTAACATTTAGAAACAAACCTGTGGAAAAGAATTTCAAAATAGCTTTCATGGAACTCGGTTGTGATGTTAACTAAAGAAGCCCACCTCCTCAMTCTTTCTATCAAATCCTTTTCCAGTTCAGAGACAAACTGGTGCAGTGTTTTATTAGCTACAGCAGACAACATACAGAAAAACAACTAAGTCTTATTATTTGGTGACAAACTGAATCAGCAGAACAAAAGTTCTTCCTTATTTTTTTATATGTGAACAAGGAAAACAGTATTTAACTTGTGTTTATGATGATATATGTTTGTTGTTTTGATTAAAATTATTTATAAACAAATACTCAGCAGATTTTAAGCTTGTTATTTTCTGTAAAAAGGTTCCCAGGTGATCCCGTGCAGAAAGTGTAAAAATATAGTATTTACCAGACAGATTCACATTGCACGCCCCTCACTCCCTCCCTCCATCTACCTCAAAYAAAGAACAAAAGACAGGCGGAAATCAAGAACACAATCTCACACCATCTGTGGTGAGGCGGCGCGGCTGCTTTAAGGGTCGCAGATCAGAGTCTCCACCACGAACGTGCTCTCGAAGTGACGGATCTTGTGGCAGTTCAGAGCTTCGCGCTTCTGCATACCTGTGAGAWGACAGAAACCGTGTGGAATAAGTCTGAGACCTCTGAGCAACAGAACACATGCTGCAGAAAGACAGGAGACAAYGTTTGACTAAAAAGATACAACAGCTTTAACCTCAGGCAGGAGAGGCAGTGGGTGATCTGCCTTCYTTCAGGAAATGTAATATTCTTTTCCTTCTGTACATTTTTTGGAACGTAACTCGTTCCACAATTTTTTGTCCTATTTTAACATTTCATTTAACAAAACGTTCAGCTCCTTCAGGTCTATGACCTTTGGTATTTCAGTTACTTATTCTTTTTCAGCTATTCAGCTTTTCTGGTCAATGTTTTTTTTTTCATTAAAAATGAATTCCTGTCTTCAACATCCATAAAACTCTTAAAAATGTTTTAAAATTTTTACTGCACTTTAGGTTTTACTACATACAGCTTCTGCTWATTTGTGCTAATCTCAGCCTTGTTCGGCTTCTTTTTATTGTTGCTATTTTTCGCTTTTTTCAGCTATTTCAGCTCTCGTTCAGCTCCTTTCTGCTATTACTCTGCTGATTTCAATATTTTTTGTGCTTCTTTCTTCTTTTTCTGCTAATTTAAGCTGTTTTCTGCCTTTTAATCTACTTTTAGCTGATTTCAGCTTTTAGCTAATTTCTAACCTTTTTGCGATAATTTGAGCTTCGCGCTTAATTCAGCAAATATGCTCTCTGATATTTTCAGTTTTTCAGTTACTTTTTAGCTATTTTTTTACAAATTACTTCTTTTTTTGTAATTATTTTTCTTGTTTTTCTGTTAATGTGAGCTTTATWACTGTCTTTTTACCATCTGTTTGATAAATCCAACTTTTTTTCAGCAGTTTTTGACTACATTGTTACTCTGTTCAGCATTTAACATGTTTGACATTTTTTTCTACTGATTTTTCACTTTTCTTTTTTCCTTACTTTCAGCAAATGGCAGCTGCAGCTCGTCAAACTTAACTCACATTAACAGTTTTGCTATTAAACATTTTCAGCTACTTCAGCAGTTTTCAGCAAAAATCTTAGCAATACGCGTTGATACTTTTCACAGAAGACGCTAATTCTTCAGTTATCTTTGTATTTTCTGTTCAGTAGTTCAGGATGTGAAGCTCTGATTGTGTGTTCATACCCAGGATYCGGTCTCTGCGCTGCAGCTTGTAGGTGTCTTTGCCGCGGCACAGGTTGTAGATGAAGTAGCCGAGCTGATCCACGTGCTCCAGGCGCTCGGTCACCACCATCTCCTCATGKATCAGGTACGACTGAGGCATGTAGGTGCCAGCCTAAAGGACAAAACAAAACAAATATCTTAGAGAATGTCATTTATTGTTTTAAACAAAGTTTTTGTTTTGTTTTGACTCGTCTTGGTTTTACTTTCTTTCACTGAGCAGAGACACAGAGATAAATGTCACGCTTGGGACCTGAGCACCTGTGCTTTTAACTCAAATCACACTAAGAGTTCCGGAAAAGCTGTTTCTGCAGATTCTAAAAAAAAACATCTCACAGAATTTTGCTTGCAAATATACTGTTAACTACTGGTTTAGCTGGAAAAGCAAACTCACACAAGAGAAGCCAGGCTTTGATCAAATGCTCACAAGTTTAAACATGTTGGTTCACCTGAGTCACCAGCCGCTACACCAGCATAGTAAAACCCTGTCCTTTCATGCTCCAATGACAACAAGCGCAGTCAGTTTTTATTAACAGTGAAATAATTCAGAATTCATCTGCTACCTTAACGTTGATCAGCAAATCCAGGAAGTCTTTGGGAGGCATGACGACAGARGTGTTGAGTGGGATGACGTAGCATTTGTTCAGACTCAGGTCTAGGTAAGCGGTCAGCCTCTGAAAATGAAAAAAAAAACAAAACATTGAAGCAGCAAGAAATATTGAGCAAACAACAAAAAAATCAGATAAAATTTTGAGCTGAACCAGAACCACCATAAAAATGTCTCAGCTACTTGAGTTGTAAATGTTTAAGTTGTACTTCTGTCCAGCAACATAAAACACTTCATTTATCTAGAAAAAAAAAGATCTATTTAACCTGCCATCCATCCTCTGGTCAATCAGGAAATAAACATATATGCGGTTCTTGGAAATAAATCAAAATCAAACATTGGGTTTAGCAGGCTGAAGCTTTAAAACTGCAGTCTGTGAACATCAATGCTGGATCATTACTCTCAYTATGTCTTTGAAAATAAAGTCTGGTCTCATATTTGCTGTAAAAACAGTCCTGGAGTTCAGTCTGAATTATTAAAATGGGGCTGTTTAAATACTACAGCCAGGTCAGGATACACTTTACTGTGATTAGGGCGACATTCAGGAAATGTTATAAGTTGAGTAYGTTTAAAGTGGAGCCAGCTCTGAACCCTGCTGCTGGTAAATAATGTCAAGATAAAGGTTTTATTCCATCCATCATCACTGAAGAAGAAACTAAACAGCTGTCAAACAGCAGACATTAATGATGGGGTGACCTCCAGTTTTAACACAATGCTGCAGTTTGAACACAAGCTGTCTCACCCGCTGGAAGTCATGCACGATGTCTGCTGGATCTCCATCCTCAAATTCAGGCACGGGCACGTTGATGAGCTCTACCTGATCCGGCAACAGAACTCGGACATTCTCCTGCAGATGTCGCAGACGGAAATTGTTGGGCAGCTCCAGCTCCACCTGTGGACCAGTCAGGACAAGAGATGAACCTGTGGTTTATTTAAAATAAGACTTTTTATAGAGTTAGCTCCTAAAAGTTCTTAAAGCAATAAATATTTAAACAAAAACTAAACCTCTGTTATAAGCTACATACACACTTTAATAAAAAAAACAAGTACGTGTATAAATGTGATTTCAATGAGAAAATGTATTTGTATAATTATATTGAAGTATTTATTCTGAACAACAGTGAGCTAATTAGAAAAGCTAATAGAAAAGACTAAACAAACCTCCTCTTCCTCGTGGACCATAAAGTCTTCCTCTCTATAATCCACCCCACAGAAGAACACCTGATCATCCTGCTTTAAAGACAGAAAAGACAGAAAGAGAAAGATTACTGAAAATCCACACTGATCTGAAAGTTTCTGTATTTATTTCTCTTTCAGCCAAATCTCCTTCATGAAATGAGCAGCGGTTACAAAATATTTGCTGATCTTTAACATATCAAATCCTCCTTTACTCCGAATTCTGTGGCTGTTTCACAACACATATAGCTCAGTTCACCGGAACAATCTCCTGAAAACCACCAACAGGAAGTGATCAAACCCATGAAAWTTTTCAGCTCTGAACATCTGTGAGTAAATCAGATTGCACTGTGAATTACTGGAGTTTATTTTATTTAAACATATAAATAAAAAAACAGTAATGATTTATAAATGTCTGTTTCTTTCTGTAGTTATGTCTTCCGTCAGGTGTCACCACAGGAGTTCATCAGGTCTGAACAAATCCACCTGAACCATTTCTGTCAAACTTCATAACAGAAGCTGCTTCATTTGCTGAATGACAATTTGTTTTGTACAAAAAGGTACCACTTCTGAGCTGACTGGACCTCTGCTTACCTCCAGGATGTAGTAGCGGTACAGATAGGCTCCTGCAACCACCACTCCAGACAGCATGAGGGCCAGACCCAGGCACATGCACCAGCACCAGGTCCGAGACCGGCGCCGCACCAGCAGAGCAGCCTCTGTATCCTGCAGGAGGGAGGAGACAACGTCAGCATGAWCAGACAAACCTTCAGCTTCACTTTAAGACCTGGTTCTTCTTAAAGCTTTGATGGTTTTCAGTGGAACCACTGGTTCAGGCTGAATAATGAGGGAGGAAAATGTACAGTACAATAAATAAAATGTACCCAATAAGAGTGCTAACTGTTGAATTGATTGAAAAGTTAATTAAAACCCATCCCGAGTATTAACTCGATCTGAGACCTGAGAACGAGCATTCAGAGTCAGATCAGACCTGCCAGGAGTCTGGAACCTGTCCAGAGTCTGCCAGCCAGAGGACAGGGTGTGACGAGAGGACACAGCAGATCTGTCTGTGTGCACGTGTGTGTGTGTGTGTGTGCGTGTGTGTGCGTGCGTGTGTGTGTTCTTTTCAGACCCACAGAGACACGAGGGTGACTCATTGCGATGCACATCACAAACGGAAACAGGCACAAACCAAGAAGGAAAATAAAATGGACATTGATGCTGGACAGAGAACATCTGCAACAGTAAAGACTAAAACACTGCTGCTGTACTGTTCATGTACAGAAAGACATTATAAAACTCTTTGAGAAACTTCAGATTAAGAGCTGAGGTTTATGGGTAATTGAACATGTCTTATCAGCAGACAGGAAGCTGCTGCTGTTAAAGTGCCAGCAGCTTTCAGAACAAGCTTAGACACATCTCCTGCTTTAATCTGCTGCTAAAACCAAAAACCTCCTCAGGTCCTGTTTACATGAAACCTGTCTCTGGCAATGCTCGTATTTTTTTCAATGTTTTTTGGGCAAATACACAAAGGAAAATCCCTGTTTACATGAGACTGCTGCAGTGATGTGCCAGGCAGGGTTGCCAGATGGGACATGGTAAATTATAATTGTATTTTGGCCCAAACGGTCATAAATGCTGAGTGAGAGTGTTGTAAGATAAAGTGTATGTTGTATTTGATGAAAATGTGTCCAGAAAAGGAGAGGCAAAAATCCCCTTTTTGTTTTTATCTGGCAACCCTAATGCTGGTCGTGCAGTGGCTGCATGATCACAGTTCAGTTATGGCTGAACCTAGTGAATAAACCATTTCTTCAGCTCTAGGATGGTTTTTGGTCTTTTGTTAGCCTGACCATTGCCTTCCCTTCCTACACAATTCCACTCAATTCTAATCTCCCCTCACTGCTCCATCTGGGCTTTCTCCCACTGACATAAATTTCTCCGGTACAATTTCAATCAGGCCAATCAGCGGACAGAAAGAGTTGTGAATGTTGAGGTCTTTTTTCTGCGCCGTTTTAGAATTGTAGTCTGCCTGTAGTTTAGCAATGGCAGTGGAGGAACTGAATGCAGCCATTCAGTCTGTGTTGACAAGACTTCCAAATATTGAGCAATTAAAGTCGAAACAAGAGGAATGTTTAATGCTGGTAAATATGTTGTGGCACTACTCATCACGAGGTTTGGCAAAAATCTAATTTTGAAGTTGGCTCCRTTAACAGCAAAGGAGGTGGCTAGGCTGAATGCTACAGAAGCAAACCCCATCATTATGGTCATGTCCCTTCTTTTGGCCTTAATGAAGTATCATAAAATGAAAAATTAATAGTAAGTGCTGGGCAGCTTGGCATGCACAGCAGGGATGATTGTTTATAGTGCACGCAATTTCAGGTTAGCTTCTTAGCTTAGCTTCCTTCACGATCTAGCTGGCGCATTACACTCATCACAGCCAAGGGTTAGCGATTGGGTAAAATCAGATCCCAATACACGCCTCCAGCAAGCAATTGTTTCTCAATAGCTGAGTCCAGACGTACGAAGCAAAGGGAAGAACAAGGGGGTGGTTTTTACCAGGCTACTATTTTGATGATGCAAAGGATGTCTGCTGTTTGTAATTAATTTATTGCGCTTTCACACCTGCAAGGTACTTGGCGGGTGTTACCGAAAAGTTACACACTGAGACCTGGTCTTAAAAAGTGCCAGTGTAGACTCCGATCACCAGTGATGTATAACGAGTAGATGGGTCGCAATAAAAATGTTACAATTTCACGGAAAACCAGCTCTGTGAAAACGGGCCTCAGACTGAAACCTTTAAAGAGAACATCTCTGAACCAACTTTTACTTTAATTAGTCACTTCATGTTTCACAAAAATCATGTCTGAAAACAGAAATGTGTGGTGTTATGTACACAAATTAGTTTTTTTAATCAAAACAGTGAATTTTAAAAAGTTTACAAGACATCAGGGCTGAGTGATAAATGGAGCAAACTTAATAACTTTCACAAATACTGAGTATAAGTTTGAACAGCTTTTCTTTAGCTGCCTGCCTCTAATTCATTCGAGTTCAGCTTTATTTTACACATCTGAGTACTTTGGGATCACTGGTGGTCAGTTTGATTTAACATCAAACATTACGGTGTATTCACACCAGGAGAGTACTTTGGTCCACTTGTTTGGTCCACACCAAAGGCGGACTATTTTTTCAACTGGTGTGGTTTGCATTCATATTATGCTTTTTTGCGAGCAGACTATAATTTGTAAAGAAAGCCAGGCAGGTGACCCTCATTGGTCCCATTGGACAGAAATGACGGGGGCGGGACAGAGCACAGACCAGGAAAGAAAGATGGAAGTCTTGCTAAACATAAAGAACACGGCCGCATTCTTGTGTGTCTTCTCTAGCAGATGAGTTATGTGTATGTATCTRTCCAAACATGGAGGAGGCACAGTGTCTCCTCGTTGCTCCAGGTCTGCCCACAGCTCATTGTTTGTAGTGTTCATGTAGTGGTAACATTAGCAACACTGAAGGGCTCATTTTCACTATGCTGATTAGCAACAGTGGCTCCTCAAGTCCAAAAAGGAGCATTTTCCTGCAGTTGGTTTGGGTYGAGGCCGGTCTGTATTCACACCAGAAGCAAACTGCACCAGAGTTCATTTAGAAGCAAACTGAGACCACCTCATAAGTGAGTCTCGATCCAGTTGATTTGTCAGCATCAGGGTTCACATGAATGTATTTACACCTGCAGAAAAAGGTCCGGACCAATGGGGGAAACGAACTCTGGTTTGTTTAAAGTGGACCAAATGTGTCAGGTGTTAGTTTTTCAGTGAATTATAAAATATTTCAAGTGCCTTTTTTTTGTTTTGTTTACAAAAACTTGTGGAGCTTTCTCAGTGAGAAAATATCCTGAGTTACATGTTTTGTAAATGACTTTACTCACATACATATTTACACTTCTAGGTTTTCATCCAGGTTTTATTGTTTGTTTTTAGTTCATTGGCTGTAAAATAAATTCAATAAAACACTCTTTAAAGAAACTTTCTGTGTACGAGATTCTTAAACAAAAAAAAGAAAAAGTTTCTTAAGAGTTAACGTGCATCATCACATTATCACTCATAGTTCACAGCTCTTAGACATTTATAAATTGATGAGTATCTGAAGTAGATTACTGTAGCTTTTCTTTTTCAGCACAAAGTTTTGATGGGTCCTAGAAACACCAGATGGTTTTACAGTCACTCTCAGACCTGTTTTCTAAAATTAACCGACTGGAATTCTGTTTTATTAGGACTTTTATTTTAGAGGGTGGAAGAAGACAGAGGCATTCAGCCAGATGGCCTTTAAAGTTATTAACTTATTAATACTAATCACTAACAAATCAACTGCTCATTTCAATACAACTAAATAATGGCTATCAAAAAAGCATATTTTATAAGCACGAGTTAACATATGAGGGAAACAAACACTTCCTGTATGTTTTAACAGCAGTGCTTCTCTGAGTGAACGTGGCAGTGTTRGTTATTGTTTCAGAGTTTATATGAAAAGACTGGGACACAAACACTTCCTGCTGTTGTTCCTGTGGGCTCAAACTGGCAGCAAAAAACAGRAACAACCACACGTCCTGCTGTAGAACTGTTGTTAAGCCTCACTTACTCCTCTGCAGCTTTAAGAAAAGCTTGTTTATGGTGTGCTGTTTTAAAAAGGAGGAGCTCTCTTTTCTTCAGCTGCTGGTTAATAAATTTTAGAACAAGCTACAGCCCATCTCTGCTGTGACCTCAGTCTGCTGTTCTATCGACATGTCACCTAACAAACACTTGGCAAGAAACATCCTGGAATTATTCCTTCTGAGAGCAGTTTTAAATTCCTTCACTTTCCTGTTTGGTCAGTAGAGTTGAACCAACCAACACAGCATGTTTCACCATGCCTGCAGCTTGAGACGTTGACAAATGCAAAAGCAGCCTTTTCTGACATAAAAACACAACTCCTTAGATATGGGAAGAAACTGCAGCTGGGCAGGCAGCTACAAAAACAGACATCTCTTTCACAACTTCAACTCATCATACAAAAAACAAAGAACTCACCACAAGAAGCTTCCGGGAAGCCCATGCGTGAGGCTGAACGTTGAGAAAAGAGGAATCAAATAATTTAAAAAAACAGAAACTGGTCAAAATGACATTAAACTCACACATGAGGAAGTTAAACATGATTCATTAAAAAAAGAGAGCATGAGACGGAGCAGAATCTAGGTTAGAGGTGGACACTTTGACTGGTTTAATGGATGAAAACACTAAGAGGGGAAATTTCCCCAGGCTCTTCATCAGCTGCACAGCCTGGGTCACCTCTGCTGACAGGTTTGTTCACATCAACAAGTATTTAAACTTCCAAAAAAGGAACAAGCAGATGTGTCTTTGCCAACAAATTAGATTTTTAAAACAGTTTATTTTGAGGTTCTGCCTCAAAACTGTTTTTGTTCTCTTTTACTGCAATAAGCCATTAAGGCCCTTGTCATACCTGGCAGGGGAAAACTCAGAAGTTAAGGCCCCACATCCCCGGTGGACAGAGTAGAGATAAACAGTTTGCTGGCGGTCTAATTTTAATCAGCTGAAGGTGGTCTGACTGAAACATTTAATGCACACTGAGACTTGTTCACATCTCTAACTCTATCCAATTACAATCTGATGGTTCAGGTGTGAACACAGCAAAAAAAGGAAAAAAACACGGTACTGTATTTATTCTCAGAGAGATCTGGC